CCCCAAAACCCCAAAACCCCAAAACCCCAAGAAATTCACATTATGTAAAATATATGGAATTATGAAATAAATAGTAAATTATTATTAAATTTAAAAGCTTTTATGAAGCTTATCATTCGAGTATTATGACTTATACTTATTATTGCTTTAACTCAAGCTTAATAATAATGCTTTTTATAAATTTCGTCTTAAACCTTCTATGTCTTTCATCTCGGACCGGTTTTAGCAGGTGTTTAATCTACTAATCCAATTATGTCCTCCATTAAAGTTCTATTTTCAGTTGTGCTACTTTACTAAATTTGAGTTAGCGGGCCCTTCTGAAATTCATGGTCAACTAGCAATTTAAGATTAAGATCTTATTTAGAGAACTTTGTTTCTCTTGGTGGGATTTTTTATTAAGGAGATTTGCTCAGATTTTTCTTCCCAAAACCCATCCCAAAATCAAGCATTTAAGTATACTACTCAAGAGCAGCGATCTACTTCAATTTCTAATCTTCACTCTCCATTATCAACTAATTAATCTCATTGTAAGAGTCCTTGAGATCCTCCATGCGGGCATTTCGTTTATCAAAGTCAGTCAGCTGACTCAATTCATTTTCTACTTCATGAAACATATCCTTGTATCTTTAGGTATCACTATAAGCAGTCTCAAGCTTTTCCTTCATTATTTTATACTTTTCAGCATGCTGCTTTCTCAATAGTTATATTTGATTGTTCATTGATTCCATCTCATTTTCCGCTTCTTTCTTCAATTACTTGACTTGGAATTTCTGCATTTCTATGGCTTAATTAATGACTCTTTAGTTATTCTAAATGATATCATCAACCTTCATCATTATAATCTTGAAAAGATAGTCCAATATAAATGCAGGCATTACATCAGGCTTTTCCTCTTAGTATTTCAAGCCTTTCATCAGTTGTTGAAACATTTTAAACACATCCAAGAAGAATATCCTTAATTATTCCAAGTTCACATCCATTTCCTCTTGCTTGATATTCTAGATCTCCTTCTTTTTTATCATTTTCTCCAAGTACATCTTTGCTTCATAGTATATAGCTGATAATCGCTTGGTTGTCGAATAATTTATGTTATCACTTGGGATGGATTCCTCTTATTATGGCTCCAGATAGGAATGCAAAGTTGGTACATGGACAGACTTTGCATATTTATTTTCATACATACTCTCAACATTATCCTCTATGTCAGCTTAGTTTTGGGTTACTTATTTATTCTCAGGCATAAAAACTTGATAGAATGAGTGATCAAGGTAAAGTTTAAGAGATGAGAAGCATTTGAGTTTGCTTACTATATGCAAGTGATTGATATACTCATCTTTCAAGTTTATTTTAATGTCTTGAGGTTTCATTTGGCTGTTGACTGACTGCTTTAAAAGTGACTGTCTTCCATTTCCAGAAACTGGATGCAAATTAGATTCTAGATAATCTTTAACTCGCTGAGAATTAATCTGATTGTTCACATTTTCCTCCAGATTTTCATTATTTTTTGTTGAACTTCCACCAGTATCGAATCCTGGGTACCCTTTTGACTTGTACACTGAATGCATCTTTCTCTTCCTCATCATTTCAGTCTTCTTTCTAACCTGAGATATCATCAGACTAAGTTGCCTTTCCTAGCGAGAATATTCATCTCCCAACTCAGATTAGTAAGCATTTTCATAGTTTTTGTTCATATGAGACTCAAAATCCTTTAACTGCTTGTTTTAGACTCCATCTAAAGGAGTCTTCTTCAATTTTTCAATACTTTTCCTCATTACTTAGAAATCTCGATCAAGCTAACTCATCCCAGGATTTTGCTTAAATAATTACTTCTCATTGATAAGTTACTACCTAGGTGAATTTTGATGGGAGAAGGCATTAGTTTTAAACATTTACTTGACATTGTTACTTTTGACCTGATTTTAAAGGCTGTTATTAAGTTCTTCATTTAAACCACTATCAGACTATTCATATCTTTTATTATTGTTCAGTACTTCCAACAGACTTTTATTTTTGAAGTCTCTCCATTTTTCATGGTTATTATCATCTTCGTGATGAATCAAGCCTCTCATTGAGATTTTACGCTTGCTGCTCTCCTCGTTTTGATTTTGAAGGTCAAACTTAAGAACCTCCTTGTCTTCGTCTATTTGGCTAAAGCTTAATCTTTTATTGCTTTTAGTGACAATTTAATTGAGCATTTTCTTATGAAACTCAAGCATAGTTCTTTTATTTTTAGAAGTTAGAGCTGGTATTTCCAAAGGCAATTGTTTTATAAAAGACTGATGAGCTTGCTTGGATAAAGGTGACACTGGCTACGAAAATCCACGACTTTCAGTGCTAGCTCTCTGAGATACAACTCTAGATTCTCCTAATCTATGGCCTTTACTCCACATCGAACTGAAATTTTTATCCTACTAAGTCATCATACCTGCTCTATTCCAATCAGACCTTGTGTTCTCTGTCGGTGACAATATGTTATGTGGAGTTCCGTTTTTGTGAGTGCTAGTATTTGTTAACTACTAATTTTAAAGCTAAGTCAACTTAAGTTAAGTGGAGAGAGGAATTTATTGTATCCTTCTAGGACTTTAAGAGAAGAATGTGTTATTATGATGAATGGGATTATTAATGGCAATATTTTGCTGTTTCATTATTTTATTCTAATTGTTATTAAATCTACCTGCTATCAAATCTACTAAATCTACTGACTGCTTTACTAATTAATTTATTTAACATCTCAATTATTACTACTGTCTTGCTGCGGGGTTTTGGGGTTTTGGGGTTTTGGGG